TTTTGGGATTGTTTGTACAACAGCTGTATTTTCATAACGAATCAACGCTGAGAGTCGAGATACTTCATTTTGTAGAGAAATGTTTAATTATCTAGTTGCAATTTTAGATTATTTTCGAACTTTATTGTCATCCTTCTTTGAAAATGACCGAAAGGAGACTGTTAGCTAGTCAAGTCGTATACGTCTATCTGCTTGTATATGCGTATGTATATATATATATATTACCTTAAAATCACTTGTTTTCATAGGAAAAATAGTTGTGGTGATTTACAAAGTCGTTTGAAAGTACGAAAAGTATTGGGTGTTGGGGAATGTGGTGACAATGGAAGTATTTATAGCTCAAAAATTAGCCAAATATTAGGACATAGTGATCATTTGATGTATTATATGCCAAATGGACTTATATTATGGTTAACGATTATGACAATTGTATTTGGTTTACTTTGTATATCTGCTGCATTCTTTCCTCGACTGTTATTTTTATTATTACCTGGTATAGAAAAAGGAACAACCAACATTCATTTGGCATTGTGTTATGGAAGTACGAAAACGTAGTTGCTTGTTTTTTTGACACACATTACCTTTTTAGAATGAAATGAGAAAAGAAGAAAAAATGAGAAAAGGATGATAAAATTCTCTTTTGAATATTTTGTTCAGTTTCTGATGCACATTGTCTTACACCTATGGAAATTGACAATTTTTTAATAATTATAATTTTTAATTTAGCATTATCTACTATGACATTTTCGACATTGCGATCGTATGAGAAAAATTCCTTAAGATTTATCCTATTATCGTTAACATTATTTCATGGTATTTATATACTAGGTATGCTATACAAAATTTAATTTAATCTGTTTGTCTTTTCTCTAACTTTCATTCTTACATCAATTTTTTTTTATTATTTTAGTCAGTTTGTGGTTTATTTCATTTTCATTATTGTTATTGAATATATTCTTCTGTTTTATTAATTCATATTACTATTTTTATTTGAATAAAGGTCAAACAAAACCACATAGACTTAAACAATCAACACATGTTCAACTACCAACTATCCTTTCACGTTCGTTATATCAGACAAATACAGGTATAATTGATTCATTATCGGATACGTCTGACAAAAGCAAAGAATAAACGATTGACTATTACTCATTTTACATAAAAATACTAGTCATCAACCGAGATTAATAATTATTTATTGTAATATAGTGGTGTTTTTCATTGTTTACGTTTCGGGTAATTTGTAGTTTTTTTTTCGTTCTACTTCACATGGAGTTCAGAAAAGTGAACTACAGCATAGGATAACTGTAGTAGGGGTGGCACTTTACGTTTAGTTAATGTGATGAAAAAAATTCATTGTTACGCTTTAAATAAGACAACGATGTCATACTGTAACAATATACTTCGCAAAATGAAACATTTTTTTAAGACTTACTACTTTGACCACTTACTTGAGCCTTAAAAAACTAAACGTGTTAAATTAGATAAAACAACAGTTAAATTATGTTTTCTACATCTTCGTTTTTTGTAATTATTTCTGCGAATAATGTTTGCCTTATCGTGCTGTCATGAATACAATAAAAAAAAATTTAATTTTTAATTATTTTGAAAGTAATAGACGTCTGCTTTCCTCTTAAACGTATCAATATTTAAATAACATTAGAAAGAAATTTTATATTCTATTTAATATATTTTCGCTCCAAAAATAAAAAGTCATGACGTACTATTATGATTTTGTATATCGGACATTTTTCTCGAAAAAATCTTACTAAAGGGCGGACAATTTTGAAAAAATTTCGCTCGAAACAGATCAACTAACCTGGGGCAAATTTTTTTTATAATTTACGTTCGTTTTTAAAATTAAAATAGGATGGTTTTGTCGGTTGATGCTTAGTGTGTATTTGCATTTTTTTTGCGTATATCTCGATCGGAGGATAAAACTTTTTTCTCCTTTTTATTTATGTAATGTATTTTAACGTGTCATTTTATATTCACCGTATCTGTGGTTTATTTCTATTTCTGCTATACTTTTCGTTCATTGCTTTTAAAGAAGTGTCAAAAATCTGTCATAAGATAAAAAATAATCCAGTATTTAAATCGTCAACTTACTATAAAATAGAACGCAAAATGAAGGCGCCCATGGGAAAATTTTCTCGAAGTTTCACGACATTGGAATCATGCACTTGCAACAACAAACGCGTGGTCACGTAGGAACTTTCTACAATTTCAGAATACGTGTGTTCATTCTTTCTTTCTTACGTGTGTTCACACACCACTTTACGACTCTCACTAGTGACCACGTGTGAAAGGTATGACGCAAAAAGTTTCTGTGAACAGTTCTCGCGTTGTCACAAATGAAATATATCTTTCACGCCTGCTCACACGCTATTTTATGATGTTCACGTGCGACTACAGTTTATTTCATGATAGTCACGGGTGTACACGCCGTTTTATATACTGAAATTTCCCCAAAGGTGGTGAAATCATACAAGAATTAATAGAAATTTTCCCTTTACAATAAAAAATCGTAGATTAAAAAACGAAAAGGGTTTTTTCATTTTTTAACTGTACCGAACGTTAAACACTCACTTCTAAAAGTGTATCATCGACACACTTTGACATACAACGGGCATCATTAGCGCACTTAAAGTGTGTCGATGATACACTTTTAGAAGTGGCGCACAAAAAGCGTCCAAAAATGCTGCAGCAGTGTGCCAAAAACACACTAGAAATGTGTCAGTGACACGGTGAAAGCAAGCTAGCAGCACATAAAAAGCATACTTCGGTACACTTTTTTCATATCATGGGCACAATTTAAGTATGCTTTTTCTAAAAGTATGCTTTGCCGCGACAGTGTTCGAAGGGAAAAATTCCAAACGAGATAGAAAAATGAATACGAGAGTTTTGCAACCTAGCAGTAGACCATAAAAAAGATAACATTGTCGGGTAATCTCCTGCGCCGCTGTCATACTATGCAAGAACTCTTTGCTAATATTACATTACTAGAAATATTGGTGAAATCAAGTTAAACTTCTGAAAACGTTTACAAATTTTGCACAGATCAATTTAGTACAGTTTTATCTATTACTTATAGATGTTCACAGTACAGAGAATATCCTCTATGCGAATATAAATTGAAAAATAAAGAATCTTTGAATGATCTTTTCACAAATTAGGCATCAAATTTTTCATTTTCACAATGGACGTCATGAAACAACCAGCATTCGATCGTCTGTACGACTAAACAAAGGTTGAAGTATCAGACATGTTAAATGGAATCAGATCAATTCTGCTGCAGATAGAAAAGAAAATAGTTTTCCAGGATCAATTCTGTATAATAAATAAAATAAAAAGAATGAATTAAATGTGAAAAAATCGCAGTTAATTAATTTTTATTTTATTCTATGAATAATTACTTTCGGTTGTTTGCTTCAATTGACTTTTGTCTAATCTGTGTGAAGTCAGTCGTGTAGGGATTGAATAAAAGATGGAGAAAAGTGTTATTTTGTAATTTTTTTTTGCAGACGCTTCATTCCGCTATGTTTTAACATGTACACAAATAACTTAAAAGAATTTCGTTTTATTTCTACTAACGATTTAATAATAATGAAGAGATTGTGAGTCATTCTAAAATTTGTTCAATTCATATTGAAAAAAAACAACAACAGTAGTAGAATAGATCGAAAAAGATAAAATTAGACTTTTCAAAAGACTGTTGGTGGCATCACTTTATCGTCAGATATTTAGATCACAAATGTGCAAAATCTCTTTTCTATATCTTTTATCTAAATCATGTACGGCTGACTTCACATAGATAGATCACAAGTCAGTCGAAGCAAACAACCATTAAAAAAACATAATGACGTAATAGGAACTATATATTTTTCGATTTTGTTCTGTCGCAAGAAATAGTTTTAATTAATAAAATATTTTTCAGAATCAAAACTATTACCGTCTAAGTTTAAAAATTAAAATTATTTTCTTCCTTCAACCGCAATGCACTCGCGTGATACAGAGAATTTTGACAATATTTGTCCTTTTGGTTTCTCATACATACGTACATACTGGGCACAACTGGCATTTAATTTCTTTGCTTGTAAAAGTATTCTCTTTCATCTTCAACGAAAAATTAAATCTTAATAAATTGTTATATCAAGGACTATATGCAGTTTTGGACGTTAGATAGGATGGAATCCATTTATTTTGTATTTATCTTTACCGTCAGATATAGTTCATTATGTACAAGCACCATTATATCAAAACGATGTTGTGTACGCTGACAAAATGGTATAGATTCTGCACCTCTAATTGAAGAGCGCTTTATGTACTTCTAGCTCTCAAGTAGCAAAAACTAGTACAAAAATCAATATCTCAACTCGAGGCTTCAGAATTGAGACCACTTTTTTGATAAAATGTCTTTAAGTCTTAGTTGACATGAAACAAACATCCGAGGGCGAGAAGCAGAGAGTGAGTGCGAAAAAGTTGTCTCAATTCGGAAAGAGCCTCTCAACTTTATCTGTATAAACAACAGACATAATCTCCTTGCATTGTGTTGTTTTTTCTCACAATTAGAGTGAAAACATTAGCTACTTCCTAAATGTGACCAAAATTTAAGCCAATTAGTATAAATGTGGTCACAAATTGGAATGAGTAAAGTTACATTGGTCTGTGTTTCTAAAATGCGACCACTTTTTAATTAATGAGTAATCAACAATCGTAATTTGAAATATAGATATATAAATTGGTCACTTTCTAGAAACAATAGAATTAGAAACATATATAATAAGAATTGGTGATAATATGCAGCTATAGTGAAAAAAGCTATATCAACAAAGAATTTAGTCTTCGTCATGGTCAAATTTTGCAGCGACTAATCATCCTATAAAATATTCTTTTGCGAGAAATAATCCTCAGGATATGTTTTATTAATTATTAATCAAAATTAATCATTTTGTTCTAGGAGTTGGTTATTAATCTGATGTTCGCCATAAATATAGACATTAGGCTTTTTAGTAGAGCTGCATATTATCACCAATTCTTATTATATATGTTTCAAATTCTATTGTTTCTAGAAAGTGACCAATTTATATATCTATATTTCAAATTACGATTGTTGATTACTCATTAATTAAAAAGTGGTCGCTTTTTGGAAACACAGACCAATGTAACTTTACTCATTCCAATTTGTGACCACATTTATACTAATTGGCTTAAATTTTGGTCGCATTTAGGAAACTACGAAAACATTCCTGTTAGTATTTCGATCGTCACCGATACCGATAACTAAAAAATCGGTTAATCTTAGTCAACGTTAACGGTAAAGAACAGTTTGAGTTAAAACAACGGTAACTATCCATAGTAACTCTTTTTGTTCTTATTATCATAATAAATATTCTGACAAGTATTAGAATGCAAAAAAGAAAACAAAGACGTACACTGAGCATATTGATTATAGTGCTCAATCCTTTGATTAAAATTATTTGCAGATTTTCATGTGCTTTTCTTTCTATGTATAGCCTAATTACCTTTCGTCTACTTGAAAACTTCTCTCGCTG